GTCACTGAACGTGATACCATATCTCTCACCAATCTCCACATGCAACTGAGAAAATGCGTCTCACATCCCTATCTCTTTAAAGGTAAACCACTACTTCTATTGATACGCATTCCTCAACTTTTGTTTAGGAGTTGAACCACAACCATTCGTAGAAGGCGAACACCTCGTGGAAGCTAGTGGAAAATTCCAGGTGCGCCTTAGTATCACCTTTATACTTGTTCTTGTTCTCTCTATACTGCTGACAAGTTTGTTTTTAGAAACATTTTACAGGTTTTTGATCGGCTTTTGCGATACCTCAAAGAGAAGAAACACAAATGTCTAGTATTTTCACAGTTTGTGATCGTCTTGGATATCATACAAGATTTTCTGAATCTCAGGGGTAGGTCACATTCATTAGGAAAGGCGCAAAGATCTTGGGAATAAGTTTTGAGTTTAGGTTACAACTACGAGCGACTTGATGGTAGTGTACGAGCTGAAGAACGATTCGAAGCGATCAATAATTTTCAGAGAACATCCAAGAGGAATAAGAAAGAAGCCGATGATGGTTGGTTACCGTTTTTGTATGTTTTTTTTTTGATATGTACCAATAATTTTAGATGGTCCCTGGTGTTTCCTCTTATCTACAAAGGCTGGAGGCGTTGGTTTGAACCTTAGTGCTGCTGATACTGTGATATTCTTGGATGCTGACTGGAATCCACAAAATGACATCCAAGCGATGGCGCGATGCCACAGGATAGGACAATCCAAGTAGGAGCATTGCTTTCATTTTTGTAACTATTTATCCATCACGTGACTGTTCAGACCCGTTCGTGTGATTCGACTCATTGGACGTTATACTATTGAACAACATATGCATGCTCGTATCCGAGAAAAGGTTAAGTTCACGGATAAAGTGATGGGAAATGACAGTGAGTGAATCAGATGTTTGTCAACTTGCAAAAACTGATGTTTTAGTAACGAAACTCACGGCTGTAGACCTACTGGCAATGATCAAGCAAAGTTTGGGAACGCTCAAAGAGCAGACTTACAAGAAGTACGAGCTGGTGAGTGGCGTAGTCATTTCTCTGTTGGCTTTTCCACCCATTGCGTTCCTTTTTTTT